GGTGAATTTGCATTTGGCTTCCAACAGATTGAAACCGGAGAGTTCTTACTAGCCATATGGTTTGACAAAATACCTGAAAAAACCATTGTATGGTCAGCCAATGGTGGAAATCTCGTGCAACAAGGATCAAAAGCTCAACTTACAACAGATGGCCAGTTCATGCTCAATGACCCAAAACGACAAGAGGTATGGAAGGCTAACTTGGCTGGCACTGGTGCCGTTTCTTATGCAGCCATGCTCGACACTGGAAACTTTGTGCTGGCAAGCCAGGACAGCACCAACTTGTGGGAAAGTTTTGGTCAGCCAACTGACACAATTCTACCCACACAAATATTAAACATAGGCAGCAGCCTTGTTGCTCGTTATTCAGAAATGAATTACTCGAGCGGAAGATTTTTGATGCAGTTACAATCAAATGGAAATCTTGCACTCTTCACCACAAATTTCCCATTGGTATCAGCAAATGCTGCCTACTGGTCAGCTAACACTGATGGTGGTGGTTATCAGGTTATCTTTAACCAGTCTGGCTACATCTACCTAGAAGCTAAAAATGGAAGCCAAATCAGCTCTATAGCGTCAAATGGAGCTTCAACTAGCAACTTCTACCTGAGAGCAATCCTTGAATATGATGGGGTCTTCAGGCAATATGCCTATCCAAAGAACAGTAGTGATAGTGCAGGAAGGCCTATGGCCTGGTCATTGCTGTCGTATGTACCAGGAGATATTTGCACTAGCATCAGACAAGCCACGGGTGGTGGAGCTTGTGGGTTCAACAGCTACTGCATTCTAGTAAATGATCAGAGACCTAAATGCCTGTGCCCACCTGGATACTCATACTTGGATCCAAATAATGACATGAATGGATGCAAACAGGATTTTGTCCCACAAGAGTGTGATGAAGGCCAAGATGCAGATCTTTTCGACTTCCAGGATATGCCCAACACAGATTGGCCTTTGTCAGATTATGAATACTTTCAACCAGTTACTGAGGATTGGTGCAGACAGGTATGCCTGACAGATTGTTTCTGTGCTGTTGCAATCTTTAGAAATGGCAACTGCTGGAAGAAGAAAACTCCTCTCTCGAATGGGTTGCTTGATAGCAGTGTAGGAGGGAAAGCACTGATCAAAGTAAGGAAAGACAACTCAACAAACACATCTGGTGAGAGTCCAAATAAGGAGCATCAATCAACTTTGATTCTTATAGGAACTCTACTCTTAAGTAGCTCAGCATTTTTCAATCTTGTTCTGCTGATTACTACTCTCTGGGTTGTTTCACGCTTAAATTCCAGGAAAAGAAGAACGCTTCAGCCTTATGCAGCAACACAAGGCATGAGTTTGCGAAGCTTCACTTACAAGGAGCTTGAGGAAGCTACCAAAAACTTCAAAGAAGAACTCGGAAGGGGTGCTTTTTCAACAGTTTACAAAGGAGTGTTAGATATTGATAATAAGAACTTCATCGCTGTTAAAAGATTGGACAAAATGGTGACAGAAGGTGAGCAGGAATTTCAAGCAGAAATGAGTGCCATTGGCAAGACAAACCACAAGAATCTAGCCCAGCTGCTAGGATTCTGCAACGAGGGAGAACATCGGCTTTTAGTGTATGAATACATGAGCAATGGATCTTTGGCCAGTTATCTTTTTGGAAATTCAAGGCCCAGTTGGTATAGAAGAACTCAGCTTGCTCTTGGGACTGCCAGAGGGCTTGTTTATTTGCATGAAGAGTGCAGCAACCAGATCATACACTGTGACATTAAGCCTCAAAATATCCTGCTGGATGACTCCTATACAGCAAGAATTTCTGACTTTGGATTGGCAAAGCTTTTGAAAACAGACCAGACTCGAACTGTTACTGCAATTAGGGGAACAAAAGGATACGTTGCCCCAGAATGGTTTAGAAACATGCCCGTCACAACTAAGATTGACGTTTACAGCTTTGGAATTCTGCTGCTAGAGCTCATTTGCTGCAGGAAGAATTTTGAGCAAAATGCAGAGGATGAAAATCAAATGATATTGGCTGATTGGGCATGTGATTGCTATGAAGTTAGGAGATTGCATCTCCTAGTTCAGGATGATGAAGAAGCAATAGAAGACTTTAAAAGGGTGGAGAAGTTTGTGATGGTTGCCATTTGGTGCATTCAAGATGATCCATCTTTAAGACCCACAATGAAGAGAGTCTTACAGATGCTAGAAGGAGCCATTGAAGTTCCTCTTCCTCCGGTGGTTCCTAATTCATCAGTTCAATTCAAGTCCAAAAAATCATCATGGTCTTTTAATCTAGAAGA